TATGCCACATAGGAATGCTGTACTGGTCGGCACTGCTGTGGTGGAGTGAGGGCGAATCACCTTCGGGACTGGTCTGCATGCCAGCTGATATGTGAGATGAATGGTTGAAGTGACCTATCTAGATATAGTTTGAGACGTCACCTGGCAAACTTTAGTAGGTGGTTGGTGACTTATGAAAAGTTGAGGTGAACACCTGAAAGGTTGGGTGCGTTGGACGTAAAAGGCAAGGGCTCGCCTAACGTCTAAAGAATGGAGGATTCTTTATTGAACTGATGATGGTGACGGGAAGAAGGAAGGAAGGATAAATGGCTGAGAGAGATGGAACTGAGATACAACTTTGGGGAGGAAAGAAATATCCATGGATAGTTTGACTTTGTCCGGAAAAAACTGTAAATAAGGATAGTCATGATGTAAGGCCACTAACTCACTAGATCGTCGAGCTGAGGCGACGAGGAAAACTGTTTTAAAGGTAAGTAGCCATAAATCAATTGAAGCTAAAGGTTCGAAAGGAGCTTTAGTAAGTTGTTGCAGTACTAGTGTTAGTGACCATTGTGGGGAAGGCGTACGGGTATCTGGGTCGATATGAGATAGACCTTTAAGAAAATGTTTCAGTGTTGGATGCTTGAAGAAATCAGCTGCCAGAGAGTTAGTGGGCTGATAAGAAATTATGGCAGAAAGGTAAATTCTCAAGTAAGAGAGGGAAAGGTTGCTAGACTTGAGATGAAGCAAAAAAGGTAGAACAGTAGCAAGTGATGGGTTGATAGAAAGCAATGAAGAAAGTGAAAGATCTGAATCTGTTCCATTTATATAAGTAAGCCTTTCTAGTGGAATGCTCCTTTAATTCACGGAGGACATTCATTAGAAAGGCGGAATCCTCCCCGCTGCCAGGTGCAGAATAGGTAAGTCTGGGTGGAGTACTTGGGCATTGTTCTGCGTGAGGAGGTGCAGCAGGAGAGAGAGTTGGTGAATGTGCGATGAGAAATTGTGAAGGACTGGAAACCAGGGTTGTTTTGGTCACCAAGGGGATATGACAACGGCATCAGGTTTGTCTTGTTGTAGGCAAACCACGACCTTGTGG